CACCACTTCCAGCTTTTTTCTTTTTGCTTATGTGGTGCTGAGGAATCAAACCCAGGGCCTCAGGCATGCAAGGCAAGCACTTTACCACTGAGCCATCTTCCCAGGCCCTCTTTTTTATTTTTCAACTGAGGCTTGACCTCTGGGCCTCAGGCTCTCTTTCAGCATTTTCCTCTCCCGCAGCCTTTTAGGCTCTTATCATTTGAGACACGCTTCCACTTTTTGTTGATTAATTGGAGAGTTTTCAGGTTTATCTGCCCAGGTTGCCTTTGAACTGTGATTCTCAGATCTTAGCCTGAGGGGTAGCTAGGATTGATAGGAACAAGCCACTGCCATCCTGGTTACACTCCATTTTTTATTGGTTGAAATGGAATTTTGCACACTTTTGCCTGGGCTGTCTTTGAACCTCAGTTCTCCCAATTTCAAACTCCTGAGTAACTAGGATTATAAGCATGAGCCGCTTGCACTAGACTGAGTACAGACCATTTAGCAATGTTTTCCTGGACCTTTTACCACATCTTTGTTATAGTTTTCTTGCTGGCTAAATCTAGAGGTTTTCTTATACTTATGTATTTCCAATAAGTCTTTTACACTTTAATTTCTCCCACTGTGTTAACATAAGTAAGGTCTCTTTTAGTTTGGTATTTGGGGTACTGCTCCAACCTAGGATTTTGCATATGCTAACCATGTGCTCCTCTACTAAGCTACACTCCAATTTTTATCTCATTTTTGGGGAAAAAATTCCCATAGGAGGTTAATGTTGGAAAAAAATTCTAAATTCTACATTCATACCTTTCAGTGACATTATTTTAATGGAATAAATTAGGACATTCCAAGTATGAGAAAATGACTAATTATATTAAATAATCAAGAAACAATTTAATGTAGTAAAAAAAAATGTCTCTCAATGCTTAAGGGAAAGAAGGCATAAAGCTAAGACCAGAAAGAACGTAAGGGGAAAGAGTAAAGAAAGAAAAGCCAAAGAGATGAGAAGATTCTGGTTAAACAGGGCAGGATCAAGTTTCATCTGCCATCCACGCTACCAACTCCACAGCCTTTACTACTGAAGGACAGCTCTCCAATTCCTGGATAGGGAGCTCAATGTAATTTTAACTATGACTTACCAGACTACCTCCCAAAGCAACACAAAATAAACTCACTCCTTTTCCCATATGAAAACCCTTCAAATGTTTCAGTTCAAGAGAACCCAAGTCTTCTGATCTCCAGGATAAATAGTACTGTTTCCTTCATCCATATAAGCACATTTTAGCTTGAAAGGCAGCGCCTAACAGTGAAAAGAATATAAGGTATCTAAATGAAAACCTGAGCTCAAATCCAAGCTCAGTCACTAGTTAGCTCTATATTCTGTTTTCTCATTTTGTATAAGGAAAATGTAATTGTACTATTTGTTGAAATAGAAATTCAATGAGGGATTTACACAAAATGAATACCTGTTTTCCAACATGGTATTACAGATGCACACTAGATTCTGTTCTATTACCAAAATATACTTCACAGTTGTTTTTTTTTGGGGGGTCAGTCATGGGGCTTGAACTCTGGGCCCAGGCTCTGTCCCTGAGCCTTCAGCTCAAGGTGAGCGCTCTACCACTTGAGCCACAGCTCCACTTTCAGCTTTTGGGTGGTTAATTGGAGATAAGAGTCTCACGGACTTTCCTTCTTGGGCTGGCTTTGAACCACAATCCTCAGATTTCAACCTCCTAAGTGGCTGGCATTAGAGGTGTGGGCCATCAGCACCCCACTATACTTCACAAATTTTGTGAATTAGTTTCATAAATAGTTTAGGAATACAACCCACTCAGGCTCATACACGATGGACAAGGGGAAAGATGAGTAAATAGGTGTTAATACAGAAAGGGCTGGGCTCTGGTAGCTCACACCTATAATTCTAGCTACCCAGGAGGCTTGAGATCTGAAGATCACAGTGCAGGTACAGCCAGGGCAGGAAAGTCTGTGAGACTCTTATCTCCAATAATCCACCAAAAAGCCAAAAGTGGAGCTGTGGCTCAAGTGGTGAACCTTAGCCTTCAACAAAGAAGCTCAAGGACAGTGTCCAGGCCCTGAGTTCAAGCCGCCACCACCACCCCTTCCCTCCACCACCACCACCAAAAGAAAAGCATATCTGCATATACACACTTAGTGCCTGCCTAGGTAAGGAGATAGAGATACATGAGGGATTGAACCCAGGGCCTCATCCAGGCAAGCACTGTCCCACTTGACCCATGCCTCTAACTTCTCATTTCTTTTTCATTCTTTTTGAGACATAGTCTTCCATGTGGCCCTGGATAGCCTCAAACTTTAGATCTTGGGGATACAGGATCTAGACTCTTAACAGTTTTTTTTTACTGTTTATTTTAACTTTATTTTATCCAATACCAATAGAAAAGAAATTATATCAATATAAGACTACCATTTCAGAGAGAACTTTTCTTCCTCTAATTTTTTTTTATTGTGAAAATACTATAAAGAGGAGTTACAATTACATGGGCAAGATAATGAGTACATTTCTTATCATCTTCCTCTAATATTTTTAAGGTAGGTTTTCTTAGAGGTATAATCTCAATAATCAGTCAAGCAAAATAAAATCACTATCTATTATTTATCACCTAAATTAGATTTAGGAATGTTCAAACTTTGTTATCAAAGCCTTAGTTTTCAAGCTCACCAGTTTCTCTCTCTAAATACTACACATTTACAGTTTATTGGGGTTTTTTATTTTATGAAAGTGTTTCCTTTTTTTTCTTTTTTTTTGGTCAGTTGTGAGGCCTGAACTCTGGCCTGGGCACGGTTCCTCAACTCTTCAGCTCAAGGTTAGCATTCTACCACTGGAGCCACAGCACCACTTCTGGCTTTTTCTGCTTATGTGGTGCTGAGGAATCGAACCCAGGGTTTCATGCATGCAAGGCAAGCACTCTACCACTGAGCCACCTTCCCAGCCCAAGTGTTTCCATTTTTATCTGCAAGGTCATTAATACTAATCATACTGACTACAGTAACTGAAGTAATTGTCTCCAATATTCACGTACACTGCACAGACAGCTAGCAAAGGCTCAAATGCTCTAACAGAATTCTATACTATACAGTTCCACTTCTCACCACCATTCCCAGCCCTGCCTTTACAAAGTAAACTCTACCAAGCAGGTGCAGTGGTACAGTCCTCTATTCCACCAGCTATTGGGGAGGCAGAAAGATCACTTAAGCCCGGAGGATTTGAAGCCAGCCTGGGCTACAGATAACACCCTTTATCTCAAAAAAATGTTAAATGTCAAAAAAAAAAAAAACAAGGTAAAAAAAATCTAAGAATGTAATGACTTTTGATGATGTTATCCTGGTACCTAGAGCAATACATGGCAAATCTGTTGAACATAATGAATGGTACTATGCAATACTACTATATAGCCATTTAATTCAGGAAATTAAAAGTGACGATTTAATGA